TCACCAAAGTCAAAGTCAAAGATGATTTATTCCATAGGTAAAATAAATTTACACTTGAAAACGTCACATTTAAGGTACTGCTCGTTCACTACGCTGACCTCCCTGAGAAGAACGAGCAAGAAACTCTAGGGATTGCTCTTTTCAAATAAACTTAAATGCTATGGAATACATTTTGAATCAAATTTGTGTGGATTCTGGAGCCATGTCGTCTTTCCATACATCTTTATCTAACACGTAGTCTTCAATTTTGTAATATGATTTTTCGATCAAAATATTTTTAATGTAATTTTTAAACTTAGGAAATGATAAACTTAATATATGCTCCGGAATCTTATTGTAAAAACGTATACAGTTCCCCATAAAAGAGTTGTTTACCTTGGTTAAACGAAATCGTGGTACCATGAGTTTGGACTTAGCTCTAAGGTTAATATTATGGATATCTTCTTTCTTATTGAAATTATGTATATTTTTACGGGCATATAAAATATTTGAGTAAATGTACTGTGATGCCACAGTCATGATACCAGTCTCCTTAAACTTTTCTCTGAGAGATACCCGAGAGCCTAGACGGTACACAGAACGAATCGCTCGTTTTTGCAATACAAATATGGTTTGAATATCTGCCGCTTTACCCCACATGAGAATCCCGTAGGACATTATACTATGGAAGTAACTAAAGTAAACTAGTCTAGCAGTACTAACATCGGTAAGCTCACGTATTCTGCGGACTGCGTATGCAGCGGAGCTTAATCTGCTGGCCAGGGACGATATATGTGGAAACCACTGAAGTTTACTATCTAAGGTCACTCCCAAGAAGACTGCTTTATTAACAAGGTCTAACTTTTCTCCGTTTATTTCTATGCTTGGACTAGTCGATTTTACGTTAGGTAATTCAAATTTAACACATTTTGTCTTCTTGGCATTAAGCAATAAATTGTTAGCATTAAACCAATAAACTACTTTAGAGAGGGTATCATTAATACGGTCATAGTTAATGTCATGTCTGTCTGTTTTAAAAATCAAGGATGTGTCATCAGCAAACAACACTATTTCGCAATGGTCCTTAACAAAGAATGGCAGATCATTAATATAAATCAGAAATAAGAAAGGTCCAAGTATTGAGCCCTGCGGAACACCCATTTTTACTGGAGAACCCAAAGAAGTCGCTCCATTTATGCCTACTTTCTGAATTCTACCGTTGAGATATGACGAGACAAGTTTCGACGCCTTGCCATTTACACCGTAATGTTCCAGCTTCCTAATAAGAGTATTATGATCAACGCAATCAAATGCCTTTGAGAGGTCACAGAAAACACCAATAGCGTTCTGGGACCTTTCCCAAGCATCAAAGATGTGTTTTAGTAACGCTACCCCCGCATCGCTAGTCGATCTACCACTAGTAAACCCGTATTGTTCACTATGAAAAATATGATTCCTACCGAAAAAGGACAGTAATTGAGTTAGCATAACCTTTTCGAATATTTTACTTAAAGCTGGTAAAATTGAAATGGGCCTATAGTTGCTAGGATCAACTTTCCTACCGCTTTTGAATAAGGGAATAACCTTGCTGTATTTCATTAAATCGGGAAAAACACCTTCGTCAACGCACCTATTGAAAGCTACAGCTAACTGTGGGGAAATGAGATTAATAACTGAGTCTATAACTTTAGTTGATATGCCCCAGAGATCTTCAGTTTTTTTAACATGTATTGACTTAAAAGCTTTTATGATGTCTTGTGGATTAACATGACGAAAATTAAATAAACTGCCACAAACGTTAACATTTTCCTTTAGGAGATCAATAGCAAGTGAAGGGTAGGAATTTAATGATTTTGTAGTATTCACAGCAATTTCCGAAAAGAACGATTCAAAAGCTTGGGCTACTTTATCTTTAGATTTTATAAGTTTGCTGTCTAATTCTAAAACTATATCTCTATCGTGTAGTTTAACCCTGCCTGACTCTTTATTTATTATGCTCCAAATAGTTTTAGATTTATTTATCGATTGTCTAATTTTGTCGCTGTGAAACTTAACCTTAGCAGCTACACAAACTTTTTTAAATATTTTCGAATAAATTCTAACATATTCTATGAAATTGGAATTAGTATTATAAGTTTTCATAGCATATAGCTCATACAAACGAGACCTACTCTTATGAATACCTACTGTTGCCCAGTCGTTGAATTTAGTCTCTCTATGGAAAGTTAATGTTTTCGATTTAAATATATTGTCAAATTCATTTTTAATTAAACCAAATATCGTGTTATATAAAGTATTTGGATCCTCCGGTATATGGGATAGGGAATTTAAACTGTTGCCGATATTATTTTGAAATCTAATTATTCGTTCTGTGGTAATCGGTCTGCAGAGAAATTGGTCTACCTTCTTGCTCATTTTACAATTAAAAGAAGCCAATTGGCCACTATGGTCGGATCTTAAGCAATTTATTATTGATTTAGACACTGCGTCTGTGTTACAAAAGATGTTATCAATACAAGTAGAAGAGGAGGCAGTAATGCGAGTTGGTTCTAAAAAAAGATTAATCAAGTTAAAACTTTGAAATAAATTAATGAGTCTTACAGAAGTAGAACAGTTTTCCAACAGGTTTACATTGAAATCTCCACATATTACTACGTTTTTTTTGGTTGAAAAAATCCGCTTTAAACTGTCTTCCATAATTAATTCAAACTCGTTAAAATTAGCAGAGGGGGGCCTGTATACACATAAGACGACAAACTGATCCAATTCCACACATGAAATCTCAATAGTTCGTTCAGTAGAAAGATTTGTGATATCCTTATGCTCTTTAAATTTTAAGTTACGCTTAATAATAATCATGGATCCGCCTCTACTTAAGCTCTTTCTTATGAACGAACTGACTATTACATAATTTTCTATATTGTTAATGGCTTCGTAATCTTTCAGCCAGTGTTCTGTAACACAAAACACGTCAACGGAAATATCGTGCAAAAAAAGACTTATTTCTAATATTTTGCCAGAAAAGCCTTGAATATTTTGATGTACTACATGGAAACGATTAGACTTTTCTGTTGTCGTGTTTTTTAGTTTAAATTATGGTTAGTAAAATGTATACTGTTGCTACTTAAAGTAGGAGCATTGTCGTGGGACTGTGTTATATCTTCTATAACAGCGTCCTTAATATTAAAAGATAGCAAACTAGCTATATGCCTTAGATACCTTAGGGGTAAAAGTAAATTATCCTCAAAAAGTTTGAAGTTCCTTACGAACTTATTAATGTCAAAACAAAATATAACGTCACTATGACGGCAAGTCAAATTATGTATGTGCGAATTTATGTTATATATATACTTATTACGAGCGATGCCTAGGTTAGAGCAGTAAGGGAATGCACTTAGTATGAATTTACACCCACACTTCTCATGAATTCTCAACTCACCTCTTTTTAGGAAAACTAAGTAAACATCTCAAGTTCGCTGTCGTTCAACTATTGACCGCTAGATGGCAACACATTGATTGAAATTTCAATGTAAAATCAAAACGTCGTAACTTGCGATAGAGGTATTGACCTATTAACGATAAGCCAACACGGTAAAGTTTACATTATATTAACAATCTAAAATTTGTTATTCCTTTTCAAATTAGAAACTACTACCAATGATTATGAATATTTCATAGTGTTTCAAATTAAAAATGTGTGAGTTTTGGCGAAAGTGGTTCTAATGGTAATCGAGAATTAACTTCGATTTGCGCCTGTCTTGTTTTGTAGCAGGGGAGTTTTTTCTTGGGAAGTAAGAAATCATCATGGATGCGGGTCAGATGGCACTCCCGACTTCACTAGGATGTGGACCCAGTGATCTACGCGCTTAAACCTCTTACACTCTTAGTTAATTTCTGTCATTAATGTGTTAGCGTAACGAATTTAAATGAATACTTGGATCGATTATTGTCGTACTTTAAGTATGTAAACGATTCGGAATTATTATTATTATTATTGAAAGGATATTTCATCTTAAATATGTTTTTTAAAAAAATACGATTCATTACGATTGACGCAATTGCTATCATTTCTGTATTTGATTTCAACAATAATGACATTTAAAACTACCTAAATTCCTTTTTAAAAGAAATGCCAACCAATCAAGGATCCGCCTACCAAAAGCCTTAACCAATGAAAGCACAGTATTTTAATTTTTGAAGCTTGATGGTGTGTTGCAGAAGAAAGATTATTCAGTCTACGTTCGGATTTTCTAGCCAAAAGTAATACTGTGTGTTAACGTATATAAAGGTTATCTAATTTATACAGGTATGTACTAATTGCCTCCTTTTATTATATAATTTAGTAACGAATTGTAAAACGACCGAGGTTACTTTATCTGTCTTTACTCATAAGGGGAGGGTTTTAAATTAAAACATGCATAAATTAGATAGATTTTATATAGTTCCGACAGCTTAATAATTTCATTCCTAATGAATAATCATCATTTTACTTAACACTACGTAGGTCACTCAATAAGTTTTGAGATAAAGAAAAAATAGCAAACATATTAATATAATTTATTTTACATTTTTTCAAAATACTCTCCATCATTATCTACACAAAGTTTCATTCGTCTAAACCAACTCTGAAAACACTTTGCCAGTCTTGATCCGTCAGCATTGAAATTGCCATTTCGTAGGCAGCTACTGCTTCTTCGACACTCAAAAAAAATGTTCCTTTGATTTTATCCTTCACTGTTGGGAACAAAAAGAAATCGCAGGGAGCCAAGTCAGGGTTGTACGGCAGGTGATTTAAGGTTTCTATACCAGATTCCTCAATAAACGCCTTTGTTCTGAGGGACGTATGTGAAGAGGCGTTATCGTGATGTAGCATGATTCCCCGAAGCCCGGTCTTTGGTCTCCTCTCCCGCACAGCTTGGAAAACTTTTGGCAATGCTACTGTTGTGTACCATTTTGATGAATTAACAGACCTACTATTTTCTAACATTGACGTCGACAAATGTCCGCTCCGAGAAAAAAAACTAGCTACCATTTTTTTTGCCGACGTTTCGAGGTCTTTGCAACTTTGTCGGTAATTGTCCCTCTGCGAAGACCCACACCGACGACTGCTTCTTGCTTTCTGGATCATATTGATAGATCCATGTTTCATCACCAGTAACGATTTCTGAAACACGTCTCGATGTCCTGTTTTCGAAACGTATAAGCATTTCTCGGCACCAATCCACTCGAGCCTGTTTTTCAGCACCGGAGAGCAATCGTAGGATCCATCGACAACAAAGCTTCCTCACTCCAAGATGTTGATGCAGGATAGTATTGACGCTTCCCGAACTAATGCCTAGGATCTTCTCAATGTTCGTGTAGGTGATTCGTGGGTCTTCTCGCACCAACATTTCAGATTTCCACACATTTTCTGCAGTAACTGCTGTTTCCGGGCGTCCGCCTCTTAGGTCATCTTCAAGGTTAGTTCTGCCTATTTTAAATTCCTTAAACCACCTAAAAACTGTTGCACGAGAAGGAGCAGAGTCCTCTAATGCTGACTGCAAACGTTCCAAACTCAATTGTTCAGTTAAACCACATTTTAAATCATAGAAGATCATAGCACGCAAATGTTCACGGTTAAGATCCATTATTGTACAGAAAAAGCGCGGGAAGCGTTGTAGTAAAATGACTAACAATGTCATTTTTTTTTAATTTAGCTAAATTGCTTTTGGTGATCTATTTTTAAATAAATTTGCTTTTTAAAAACATATAATACGGGTGCGTTCCATTTTTAAATTTCGAGCATCTCAAAACTTATTGAGTGCCCTACGTAATTACGTTTAAACTAGCAAATAAATAATCATTATTATAACATGAATTAACTCACATTTTTTATGTAAGCCGAATAGCAGTATAAACGCTTCTAGCACGAGGTGCGTTCCCTCAGACGTGCAGCGACAGAAAGACGTGCTTGCTTGTGCAACTCTGGTATTTATACCTGTCCGTAAACGAGCTCGGAGTGGGACGGGGTGGCAGAATGACACCTGCGCACCCAGGTGCGTCTGCGCAGGTGTTTTCGTTTTGCACAAACAAGCGTTTAATTAAGTTTTATCTAGGGCTATTTGTTTATGATGAAATTGCCATAAAATTACACATAAATTCTTAGCAGATCTAACTGTTAATATTGTAACCACAATTCCTAATGTATGAAATAATAACAGCTGACAGAATTATCATGTATACTATTTACTGAAAAGGAAACAAATGATTGGAACTGAATTGTATTAAGCCGTTTCCTTTCGTACCTTGGTTGCTACCTTAATTACCTACGTCTTTAGTTGCGAGTTTAATAACAAATTTATCCTTTTATATACATATATATTAAAGGGTACACTTATATGTCTACTTTAAAATAATGATTGCTGTCAAAACGATTAAGCGCGCTGTTTGTAGTTTGTTTGATGTCGTCAAATGTCACTATAATTAAGATAACTACTTGCGTGGCCTAACGGTTACCATGCTGGACTGCCACGCAGAGGTCCCGGGTTCAATTTCCGGGCCGGGAGAAATATTTGTATGCCCTACATCTATTTCTCTCGTGAGTTTGGGTGTAATTTGTGGTTGTATCAAATCAAATCAAATCAAAATTAAAATTAAAAATATTACACTTTTTTTAAAAGAAAATGCTCGTGACTACCAAGTCCTGGAGCAAAGGACCTACGATGGAAGACGCCTATTCAGTCGCACCTTAAAAATGCTCGGGTTTTAAGTGCTCGGAAGTAGTTGCAGGCAGGGAATTCTATTCCTGGGCTGTGCGCATGAAAGATGACGAAAAGCCGTTTGTACGACTGAAAGGAATTTCAACCAAGTAAGGGTGATATCCCACCGCACGTCGAGATGTTAAATGATAAAAATGGACGAGCTGATGGAGCTCATGAGCACATTCATCAAAATAAAATTCCGTAGAAAACCGATAGACAGGCAACTTCGCACCGAGTGGGCTAAACTATAAAGTTTAAATTCGATCTTATCGTCGCCAATAAGTCTACTTATCACGTAGTATATAATACTTCGTTGTTATCAATAAATATTTATACCAAGGAGTTTTTAAATTTTAATTTAAGTTTTATCAGTAATAACAATAAAACAAAGGTCTGTTTTAAATAATTATAATAAAAAAAAAATATGTATGTTAATTTCAAATTTATAAATAACATCATCAACATGTCTTTAAAAAAAAACTAATCTGAAATAAATTTTTCAATGTTTCAATACATTTTATGTTATTCCTTTGAATTTCTAATAACTTGATATGCCAAAGAGGATTGCGGGCAGCGAAGAATTCGATTAACGTATCGCGATTGCTATTTTGCCCTTTGATCGTGTCAGCGCAATGTTATTGAAATGTTTCGGCGTCTAAAGTTACGTTGTCGTTTTAATTTTAGGATTATTGATCGTTAAAATTTAACATATCCCACCTTCAACATTAGAGGGATATGTTTCGAAAAGTAACGTTTTTTGCGAAACTGGCAAAAAATAAATAATAATCTATGCAATATTTTTTTTTTATTTCACGTTTGACATGGGTAAATGGCATATACCATATTATGTCACGTAGTTATCTTTATATACAAAATAAAACGAATAATTGCAAAGCACAACATAAGTTTGCAGGTGGCAGCCCTCTTGCAAACTTTTGGGGGGTCGACGGAACAGATTTATTCTACGTACTTACAGACGTTGTTTAGGACGCCCTACGGCATGATGGACGAGCGACCTGAGAAAGATGACCGGCAGCAGCTGGATGCTTACGGCACAGGACCAGTAGTAACAGTAGAGCTCCTTGTGAAAGAGTTCGTCCGGGCAAGTACTGCCACCTTACCTATTTCTGCCGCCAAGCAGTAATCCGAGCATTACCACGTTCGGTTTTTAAGGGTGCTGGTGAAATTACAGGCACATGGGACTTGTCAACTTATATCTCAGGGTGACAGGCGCAGTGTCAGTGCCCCTCAGATCTTTGCGACTTAAGAGGAAGCAGAGGAAAAATTCCTAATCTTCGATTTGATTTTAGAGGGGTATATGCACTTTAAAGTTAAAAATAAAATATTGTATGAGTAACTACACGATATATTCAAGCATAGACATTAATCAGAAACATTAAACAATAAAGTTTCGATAGATAAAAATCATGAAATGACCTCTAATTTTCACATTTTTCGATTTATCCTCGAAATGCTACAGGTTATTAGGACAAAAATTAGATAATTAATTATATTTATGCATCATCGACAACTGTCACTACGGATTTTTTAAATCCCTTTAGTTTTAGAGATATTCCGCTAAAACGAATTTGGTATTTTTAATGCGCAAAATTCAACATCTCCTGTCGCATGTCACGCGAACTTCAGGCATATATTTGTTTCACAAATTTGGGCGGAGCCAACGTCAAAACATTTTTGGCATGAGAGCTCTTAAAGCTCTGAGTGGCTCTGCATATGTTGTGAACAGGCGTGCAGCTTACCACCAGACACACAACTTATTTGTCCCGTCTATTATATTATATATAAAAAAAATATGATAAAAGATCGAATAACACAAGGAAAAGTTCCTTCACTCTGACTGGACTTGAACCAGCGTCTCAGTGGCATACGCCAAGGCTATCGCTTTTACCATCTGAGCTACTTACTGACCGAGTCAGCAGATTTCTCTATGTACTTGCTATATATACATAGATCTTTGTCACTACAAGAATCCAATGCTCAAACGGCATTTTTTGGCGTCAGCGCCAGCTTTGTGAACCTTATGACGTTTCTTCCCAGGTACCTTTAAAGCTACTAGACGCTGACGAGAGATGTCGTTGTATTAATTGCAATATGTATTTATGTGTATTGATGATGATATTTTATGACCATGATATTAAATTGTTTATTATGTTGTAATATTGTTAGAGCGATGCCTGTAAATTCATCAGAAGAGTCCAATTTAAATGGATTTTATTATTTTTAAGCACTACATATTGCGTATAATAAAATTATATTAAACACTTACATAAAATATGCAAATGTGACCGTAAATAGATGATTTGTGCATACTGTACTGCCTAATGAGTTTCACACAGTGAATGCGGCGTGGTTTACAAACGACACAACTCTGTAAACCGCGTTGCGGTTGATTTTGTATAATGTTGTCGTATGAAGCTCGTTAGAATGATAAATGAGGACAAAACAATGTATACAAAATATGTTAATAAACAGAAGTTAAAAATTTGGCAACACTTTCGCGCACGACTATGCTTCGCACGTCACGTTCTCTGGCGGTAATCTCGCACCGTGAACACGCCTTCACTGGGACTTGTTACAGTAACGGAAATTGTTGCACTGACTTATTACCAGCACTACATATAAGTTTTTACTTGGAACGTAATGTACTGTAAGTAATACTTGATATCTTATATACATTCCGCTAAGCACCGGAGTCTACGTGTTGAAATACTGTCTCGTGGAACAACGTTATTTAATTTTTTAATTAAATCCCCACAGGATTTAACTTTCCATTCTGATTAGCCCGGGTTAGAAGGAAGAGCGATAAGGCTGTACTCTGATGGCTTAATGCAAGTTACACAGCCACTAATGAAGTTGGTATACCGCTAATTTCTTTGCCGGTCGATGGACATGAGATCTTAATTAGCGTGTGTATACGTATTCCATATTTAAGTAGCGGTAGAGGTCCTTGTAAAGGAGTTTCCAGGGAAGTACTGCCACCTTACCTACTTCTGCCGCCAAGCAGTAAAGTAAGCATTACTGTGTTCCGGTTTGGGTAAGGGTGCTGATGAAATTACAGGTACATGAAACTTGTCAACTTATGTCTTAGGGTGACCGGCGTAGTGGCAGTGCTCCTAAGGTCTTTGCAATTTAAAGCTCTAAGTGGCGCCGCAACTGTTATGGATAGGCGCGTCGCTTACCACCAGGCGCACGAATTGTCCGTCCCATCACTTGGTATTATAAAAAAAGTCTTCAGAAGCAGAGGTAGGCTTAAAAAGAGCAATGTTACCACAAAAGCGGGTTCAACTAGTAAGGAGTGTTGCACATAAATGCCAACAAAATATAATTTTTAAGCACTTTTGTGCATGACAGTACTTCATTTATCACATAGCCAAGCTTATATTTACACCGACTTATTCGCACTTGCGAAAATTCTTGCACAGACTTACGTGATTAAACTGGGTGCAATATAAGATGATCTCAGACCAAAATCATTTATAATAAACATGTATTTAGTCTTTGTTTAGAATTTTTGTCCTTAGGGTGCAAAAGAAAATAATATAAATGTGCCAGAAAAACCACACCAATAACCTGGCAAAGGATGTTTCTTGTACTATAAGTTCCTACCAGAGCACTGGAATTCATTCCGGGGCACTATCCAGCTCATTCAGACCAAAATCAATTTAGAAAAGTTCGTTTCCCAAATTGGTCCTACCGGGAATCGAGCTCGGGACCTCCTCATGTAGCGTCTACAGTGCAAACTGTTGGGCCACCGATATCATCAAATATACACTCGTCGGCTCATACTACGTCAAATGATTAGTAATCTCTTAACTTTCGGTTAGTACGTTAACGCATGAAACTTAGCTTTCTTAATACGATTTATT